AGAGAGAGAAGGCGAACGTCTCACAGCAAGAACGGAGATCGTCGCCAAGTAAATTTCTTCCCCCTCCGCCGTGTCCTGACGAAATATTGTCGTAAAATGAGCGAAACGAAACGCGTTTTCCCGTTCCAAAGTGCGTTTTAGTGCGTCACGTGCACGCAGTAGATGATTAATTTGCATTTGCAATGAGGATGCTCGAACGGTGATGGTCGCCGATGGTCTCTGAAATCGATTGCAAGATGCATCTGCTTATCCCCTCGCTCTCATCCGTTGTCTCTTTAACGGCATACAGCGTGTTCTCTTCTTTTTGCAGATATTCGGTAGCAAGGCGGACCTGCAGCTCCACACGCAGATCCACATGCGCGAGGCGAAGCCGTACAAGTGCACGCAGTGCTCGAAGGCGTTCGCAAACTCCTCGTACCTGTCCCAGCACACGAGGATCCACCTGGGCATTAAGCCGTACCGCTGCGAGATCTGCCAGCGGAAGTTCACCCAGCTGAGCCACCTACAGCAGCACATCCGCACGCACACCGGCGACAAGCCGTACAAGTGCCGGCATCCGGGCTGCACGAAGGCCTTCAGCCAGTTGAGCAATCTGCAGAGCCATTCCCGATGTCACCAAACCGACAAGCCGTACAAATGTAACTCCTGCTACAAGTGCTTCTCGGACGAGCCGAGTCTGCTCGAGCACATACCGAAGCACAAGGAGTCGAAGCACCTCAAGACGCACATCTGCCAGTACTGCGGCAAGAGTTACACCCAAGAGACTTATCTGGCGAAGCATATGCAGAAGCACGCGGAGAGAACGGACAAGAGACCGCCGATCATCGGCACCGGCCTCAGGCCGTCGATACACGCGATGACCGCGCACCATCAGGACCACTACTGGCCGAAGGTGAGCCCGGACTCGGTGATCGGCGACCTGCACGAGAGGCTGCCGCATCATCACGCCGAGTACCATCAGAATCAGAATCCGGAGATGCTGCTGCCCGGGCACGGGCATCGCGCCGGCGAGTCGATCGAGAACGACTCGAGGCAGCAGACGCCGCAGCCCGGCGCGAATCACCATCCCAACAGCAGCTCGGCCTTCACGCCGATCTCGTCCATCTCGATCAACTCGATCTCCTCGATGCAGCATCCGTTGAACCCGCTCAATCATCTGCACTACCCCGGCAGCCATCATCCGGCGTCCCGGCCGTATCTCTACGAGGCGTTCAACACAACGCAAAAGTCCTCGCCGACGTCCTCGTCGTCCGGCGTCACGCCCGGCACCACCAGCAATCAGAACGCCACGTCCTTCCCGAACCAGCTGATCAGCCTCCACCAGATCAGGAATTACGCTCATCAGCCGAACCTCGGCAATCTCGGCAACTTGGGCAATCTGGGCAACCTGAGCAACCTCAGCAATCTCAGTGCCACGATGGAGAGCCACGCGCTGTTGGGCGGTCTCAAGGAGAAGCAGTAACTCGGGCTGGTCTTGAAGACTAAGACTTCGGGAAGCACTCGCGCGCTCTCCGCCGCGCTCTCGCCACGGTCGTTCTGTCCTTTTTTCTTCTGCTTTCCGTGTGAACACGGCGCGTTACGACACTCGCTTCGACCAGCTCGATCCAGTCTTCTCCTCCGTGATCTCTTCGCTCGTCTAATTTATTTTTTTTTCTTTTTCTACACATTTGGTGTACGCAAATTCCTTGGAAACTAACTTTTCGGAGACGTTTGACCTTTTCGGTATTTGACTTTATTTTCTATTGATGCTATAAGGAGAGATAGCATGTAAGAATTGTGGGATCTCATCGTAATCTTTCGACAAATTAATTGCGCACGATGGAAACCGTCGTTAAAGAGAGTAACAATTTTCGACAACGTGCACAAGACTATCACCACTCTCCTTTTCCCACTTTACTCCCCCTCTTTCGTCTTCTTTCTTCTTTCGATGTCTTATTTATAATTCTGTCAATTCCGACTCGATTGAGGTATAAAATATATTTATGAGCACAAGCTGGCCAAATTCAAGAATCAGTTGATATATGCAAGGTAAGGATAGATTTTATTCGAATTAGTGTCATTTTTTTACTTTGCTCGCCAATTGATGCCGCGCTCGAATCAGCAAGCAATTTGTGAAATCGGCGATTATAAAATTTCCAAAGGAAAAAACCATTTCTTATAGTTGTATCCAAGTATTTCGATTGTAATTTAAATTGAAAACACGCTTCAAATATTTTAATATTAAATATTTAAGTGACTGTTTTAAGCTTCAAATTGGAGATACATGTATCTCCATTTATTCGTAAAACAGCTGTGTTCCACATAAAAATTTCAATTACATTCCTTAATGTAATAAGACTAACGATACAGTTTTTTTTTTTTTAAATCTGTCACACTGGTCTAATGATCGATAATCAAAGTGATTACGAAGTATTAGTCACCAAGAACCGTCGATTTTCATTTACTTTACAACTAAAAATTTGATTTCTACGTTCATTAAAGACACAATCGATTTACTTGACTCTCTCGGATTGCCACATGCTTCTCAGCGTACCACGTCCTCGCCAATGATCATGCGTGCCAATTACGAAGCTAGAAAGTTTCATCAATACGCATTCGTCGCGATATAATCCGTATGATCCGATGCCGGCCGTTTAAGACTGACGTTTGAATGATAAAGTGGAGCACGATCATGGATTAACTTATATTCGAATGGTGGACGATACACTTTCATAATGCTAGAAAGTATACGACACGCCGACGAGTAAACTGCGGGTAAGTTTCTTTCTCGGTTTATTGAAAAAGAATCTTCGTTGTACGAACAGAAATCGAAATCATTTTTCGTTAATTAAAAAAATGGCCAATTATTTCTATCTTTACAAAGCTATATAATAGCAAGCTTTCCAATAAAGTCGCTGTATTTTTTTAGTCGAGCAACGTCCATCTTCAACATTCCTCTTATTTACTTCCCTTATTTACTTCACTATTCTTTTGGACGATCGAGATTTTAACCGACATTTTTTATGTTGTACTCACGAAAACTCGGAGAATATTCTAAGTTTATATAATTAATATTCTAAGTTCTATAAGATTACACCATTCTCTTTTATTCTTTTCGTTTCACTTTCTTATTTTCCTTCGCTTTATGTTCCTTCCATTTTTCATATTTATCAAGAGTACTTATTCAAAGAGTACCTTGAGGCTCTCGATATATTACGAGACACGCTTTAGAAAATGTTTCAACGATTCTATTGATGCGACTAAACGAATATCAAGTACCAAATTAACATTACTTCTCATTATATACATGTATAAAGAAAAATCAATTCAATTAATTTTATATTATCTTTCAGAAATACATTAATTTAACAAACTTGAAATACTTAAACAAATCATTTAGATTTCCACTTACATGATGAGTAAAGTATTCGTTGTTGGCGAATTTTAGGAAAAGCAATAGTTTTTGACAAGTCCCGTGAACATCATTAAACTCATCGTAACGTTATGACTAGCCAATAATTAATTAATTTAAATCGCGATTTGCAAAAGCATCTTGAAAAACACAAATAAAAGGGAACATGTACGGATTTAATCGGTGAAAGACTGATTAAATAGGGATTAGGCAAACCTACGATAGGACAAGATGCAAATGTAATGTCACAATATGCGCGGAAGAGAATGGAAGTAAAGGTAAACGTACAAAGTACGAGTTAAAAAAGATAATATATTACGGGACATTCGCAAGAAATTGTAGAAAGAAAATGCCAGCGGTAACAGAGATGTAGGAAAAAAAAGACGAAAGTCGCAGATGAAAGTGCGAAGACTGGCATGTAAAGAGGTACACGCAAGAATCGCGCATAGAAAAAAAATATATCGCATATAAATATATATGAACACACGAAATATAAAAAGCATCACGCACATATTGTAAGAGAGCCGCACGGAGACCTCCTTGTAAATAGGTGCTATATAAATAAATGAATAAGTATATGCATATATTGTATTAATGAAATAAATAAATATATGCATATACGTGCATATGTATGCAAGTACATAAATAAAGAAATAATTATTACTATCACCGACATTATCATCTTCTCATCAATATCATTATTGTCATCTCCGTCATTATTATCATTATTATTATTATTATTATTATATTATTTTTATTTGCATTATTATTACTATTACTATTATTATTATTATATTAATATTATTATTATTATATTAATATTATTATTCTTATTATTATTATTATTATTAATTGATTAATATTTGGATCAATATTTAATAGGTGTGTAAGGTAAAGAAAAAAAGCACAGACTCTAATAATGAAGGTATTCTAAGTACCTTACCCATAATATCTAAGTAATTTTATGTAATCTATTACGCGCGTATATGCTTGCACGCGTGAGAAAGAGAAAGAAAAAGAAAGGGAGAAAGAGGGAGAGAGAAAGAGAGAGAGGGAGAAAGATAAACCTGTACATGCGAACTATTGTAGATAATTTGTTGTTACGGTGCCAGACGTGCTCTCCTTCGGGGTTCCCATGTAAATCGCACTTTTTTATCGACGTTACGTTCGCGAAGAATCATGGAGCTTGACCGTTAAGTTTTGTATTTTTCATCGTACGCGCGAAATTTTCTATTTTTATTTCCACCCTCGTCGATGTGGAGTTTCTAGAGAAAAATATTCACCGCGTTAAATTTATTTCCAATTTTTTTTCGAATGTAGAAAAACTGCGTGCCGAAGAGATGTTCGGTCGACAATAGAAAAGCGAGAAAAAGAGAGAGAAAGAGAGAGAGAGGGTGAGAGAGAGAGGAGGAGAGAGAGACGACCG